AGTTGTAAATTTTTGATGTTAAATCAGCTACTGCATCTATTGTTGAAACGCTCTTTCTAAAACCGTGCTGTTTGAAATTAAATTGTACTTATTTATGAATTTTTGTATCCTTGCATTTAGATCTGTTTCAAACACTTTTGCAAAGCAATTTATTAAAGAAATAGGCCTACAGTTCGTTACATTCTTTTGATCACCTTTTTTATAAATAGGTACAACTACGGATTGTTTGAAGTGGGAAGGACATATACCCGTTTCAAAAATTTTATTAATTATTATAGTTAGTGGTAATTTTATTTCATCAACAATATATTTAATAGTGTCCACTTTTATATTGTCTGGACCAGGGGCTTTGTTGGGTTTTAGGGTATACATTATATTTTTTATTTTATTTTCTGTCACAGGTTCTATACTGAAGATATTGGAGTATTTTTGTTTAGATTGCTAACATATTTTTTCCAGCTTTTCTGTTCTTTCTGTTTGAATATTAACTTAATTTTTGTCTGCAGATTTTTATAAAAAAATTAAATTTGTCAAAATTCGATGTGTGGCATAGTTGCATAAAGCTATTTTTCTTCTCTCAATTAAATCGGAACACTCAGAGTCCCACCATGCTGGAAGAAGCCTTGAAAAAGTAAAAGGATTGTTTCTGGGCATAGATAAGTCTGCAGCTGCCATGACAGCTTCAATAAAATTGGAGAATAAAGTGGATTCAGATGATGAATAGGTAAAAGTATTGTCCAAATATGATTTGAAGGAAATCCAGTTAGCCTTTTTTCGTTCCAAATAGTTGAAGGAAACAGCTTCTGTTTAACGGGATTATTTGTAATAGTTATTAAGATAGGAAGATGATCAGAACCCATAGTATCAGAAATTGTTTTTCATTCACATTTAGGTGGTAATATTGGCGAAGTTAAAGCAACTAGAACTATATTACTTCGATTATTACTAACACTACCCCATAAGGAATAATGACAAATAAAATCTTCACAGAATATTACCGGTGAGTTGAATTGAGACAAGAGGTTTTCGCAGTTAGTAGTTGAAATGTTCTTATGTTTCGAATCATTGTATAGTGATTCTATCAAAATTTTTAATTCAAATTTACAATTAAATACAGGGTGGTCCATTTAAAAAACATAGGTTTGATCAATTCTGAAGTTATGGATCACTCTGTATATTCTAAAATAATTTTGAAATGTGCAGATTAATATTATCTACAACTTTTGTAAATAACATTGTTTAATATTTTCTATAATATAGGATATATCGTACTTCCACACACTATTGGGACACCCTGTATATGGTTTGAATAGGAAAAATCTTGAAATTTCAGTGAGATTGAAAAAAACTGTACTTTAGTATTTTGGCTTCTAGCTTCACTAAATGACCATTTTTATAGGTTTCTATAATTTTTAAAGACCCCTTTAATTTTTCCACTCATAACTCATTTGCACCATCGCATCGCATCGTAAGCGTGTGCAATTAAATTCTTAGGTGTATTTATTAATAACAGGTCTAGTTCGTTTTTTTTTGCATTTCATTAAACTTGTAGCAGTCTTATCTAAAAATCATAGGAAACATAAAAATTTTTCAACTATACTGCATTTATGCAATTATCTAAATACCTTTCCCATTTGACAATAACTCGGAATATCACTGGTTTTATCACATTGTACTGCCAAAAAATCTGCTATGTTAATTTGCTTACTAGTTTCTTTGAGACACACTTTTAACAAACTGTTTAATATTTTTTTTATTGTTTTAAAGTTACCTTTACATAACATTTTATAAACGTTTTTTAAATATAGAATCAAGTTCAGATGTAAAGTCGATTAATTCTTGGAAAACACTACGATTCTCAAAGGCGTTTTCTTTCATCGTACCCTCTTGAAGCTAATTATAATTTTCCGCAAAACTTAATACAAATTATAATTCGTTTTAAAACATATCTGTTTTTATATATTTGCTCGTTCTGCCTTATTATATTTTGCCGGTAAGTTTAATCCAACTTGACAACGATATTGGCAGTAAATAAAAAAACTAATTCTTTTGAAAAACTTACATATTCAGCAGATACTTTGTGCTTTTTAGTGTTATGTTATTTATGCGCTTTAAATCCTTTAACCCTACTCTCCACCACACGTTATCAGGTTCATCGGAGTAAAATAATAAACAAGGAAAGACTATCATAAACTTGCCTAGAAAATCGTGTTCTATAGGAATCTTTTGAACTATTGTCTGCCTGAGTAAGTTTTAAATCGGGAGTAGGCGGTACCAAAGATTTATTATATTTTTTAGCCAAATAAAGTCTATATAAATTAGTTTTTAAAATATTTTGCGCACTATTCGCCTTGTTTGGAGTACAAGATATTCTTAATCCAACAAAATGTCTCTATAGAATATTCACAAAGTAACATTTGAAGCTTTCCCAGAGCTGAGAGTTTATTTTATATAGGAGTTATGTCAGTTTAGTTGTAAAATGTGTTGCATAAATTTTGAATAATTAAAATGTATTCTTGAACACATTTGAAATTAAGATAAAAACATTTAATACTGTATACTACATATACAGGGAGTCCCGAAATTAGACGGTCATATTTTAACGGCGTAAAAGTTTACATAAACATAGGTCTCGTTTCCGAGATACAGGGTGTTTAAAGTTAAATCCTGATGACACATTTTTGTAAATATTTTCTAAACGTTTAAAGATGACTAAGTGAAATTTTTACGCTATATTTAATGGACTGAACCCCAGTTTTTGATCATCTTCATATGTGGGTAAATTAGGGGGCTTAGGGTAAAATTAGTTTAAATAAATAGTTTAAACGTCTACAGTTAAAGAAATAAATTTTCATTAATCGCTTTATTAGACCAAAGTCAACCAAACCATTTGCAGAAATACAAGTTTTTTTTATAAAATAAACATTTAAAACTCAATTTAAACTAAATAAATTTCTTTATTCAACGGTTTTGCAAAGCTGAAAAAAAATAAATTTTTGATTATTAATTATTTATTAAAATTTTCAAATGCTGTATTTTTGAAAATTGTGCATCCTAAAATGTGTCACCAGGCCTTTACTTTTAACATCCTGTATCGAAACTATGTTTACATGAACTTCTACTTCCATTTTAGGATGTAGATTACGCTGTTAAAATATGCCCGTCTAATTTCGAGACACCCTACCCTGTATATTTTAAAGTAGTATATGTGGGAGAAAACAGGTCCCCAAAATTCTGTAGATGAGATCGAAAATCGGTAATTTGGTAGCGCTGGCTAAGATAATAAACAGACTTAATAGACCAGGGTCGATAATTTTTGAAACAAAAAAAAAATAATAGTAGAACGAAACCCGTTAAAAAAGGACGAGCATGTAACAAAAATGAAAGGAAAAATAATTTACGGGCGATTTAAGGTCGGGAAGTGGAAGGGGGTGATTTTTTAAGGGTAAAAAACGGTGTATCTCGATTTCGGGCAAAACTACAAATCCTATAGAAAAAAATTAAATGACAAAGTTGTAGGTAATACAGAGACCTACAACTATTGTAATTACACTTTTTTTACATAACCTCAAAATTTATGTGAAAAATTCAAATAATCAAGTTTTTGTTTTTTTATTTTTATCTGATGCAAAAAAATGTTTTTCTCGAAATTTGGTGAATACTTACCTTTTTATGTCCTAAAGACACTGTAATTTTTTTGATTTAAAATATTTATTTTTTCACCTTATTTTGACTTAATATCGAAAAAAACTAATTTTCAATCGAAAATTCTCGCGTCAAAATATCAGCTTTTTAAAAAAAGTCTGGAAGTTTTTTGTTCGCTGAAATCTCTTCTTTCTGATAATGTAAAAAAATATATACATAACTATGGTAAATGTTCTCGGAAAATGCAAAGAAAAGAATAAAACTCGAATCCGAATTTTTTTTTTTTAATCACTATGTACAATTTTGAGCTATTTAGTAAAATTGACACTTTAATTACTTAAAAAACAAAAAAATTACAAATTCATAAATCATAAAAATAGCAAGAAACATGCAAAAATAGTTGTTCTAAATATTAAAGATAGGATTTAAAGGGGGGATTTCAATTAAAAATGTGATTGTTGCTTTTTTTTTAGTCAAAAAGTTGATTTATTAAATTCTAATTACATTTATGTCATAGAAAATCTCATAATATATGAATAGAAATGTAAATCGTACTATTGAATTTAGATACTTTATACTGATTATTATTCATAATATTATTTTAAAATGCATTAATCTTCCTATTTATAAATATTATCTTGGACCCTAATCACTTATCCATTACTTTTTGTCTCTTTGGTGGCATTTCTTCATCGTTAGATTCGACAAACCTACCCGATTCTAGTAGATCTTCGAAATCTTCAAGACCATCACCGTCTTCGTATCCAATATTATTTTTAGTCTGAATTGGTCCTTCATCCACAATTTCATCTGAATCACTAACTTCCTCTTAGGTTTTTTCTTCCATATTGGTGCATTTTTCAGAACCACTACAATTTTAGCATAAATTTTAAGCCATGTGTTCGGCAGCCACATTATAAACTGTTACATCCAGTATCACAGCTGCAGCAAATAGTTTTGAGCAATATTTCCGGAATTAACTCCTTCTCTGTAAATTTGGGCATAATCCCACGTTGATGTTGCTTCCAGCCCCAATCTGTTGCTGTCAGTTCGTTACCTAGCCAAGTTTGAAGTTGATAATATGCCCTGTAACAATGTTGTTCTGCTGCACCTTCTGTGGGTGGGAGATTTGCCAATATGAAAGATGATTTAATTTTTGTCAATTGATATTTTTGAAATCTTAATTGATTTAGTGTTATATTATCATTTTTACATTTATAAATAGATTTGATTAATTGTAATCCATTTTTTCGATATCTTTTTTGTTTGCATCTTTTTTATAAAAAACATAGGCCAAATTTGACACATTTTTATCGTCTAATAATGAATTTACAATACTTTTTTTTTCTTTTCAGGCAAATCCAGATGTTGTATCGCAACCAAAAAAACAATGCAGAAATGTAACGATATTTTTGTAGGATTCATACTTGTAACTATTAGACGTGAAAAATAGATCTTTTTCATTTCCAGAACCTAGTTTGAGAAAATAAATGTCATGATTGTTGGAAGTTAATGGATTCAAAAGAACCAAAAGATCAATATCTTGACCCACAACAATGACAGAAAGATCTAGACCCGCCTAGCCCCTTCCCTCCCCACTTCTCTATGAAATACCTTTTGATGGGCTAAAATTATCACTAGGTAACTCAGGTATATAAGTTATCATAAAATAGCAATAAATAGGCATCTATGCACATAATTTAAAGAATATTCTACAACTTTCTCAAAATATTGTAGATGTCTTATTAAATATTAACTTATTTGGTTGTTAATTATAGTAGTATATTTTGATTTGTATTTTTTTGTTTATCAATGTAACATAGAATCTTACGTTTTTCAAGTAATTAAAGTGTAAATTTTACTAAATAGCTCAAAATTGTACATAGTGATTAAAAAAAAAAATTCGGATTCGAGTTTTTTTCTTTTCTTTGCATTTTCTGAGAACATTTACCATAGTAATGTATATATTTTTTTACCATATCACAGAGAAGAGATTTCAACGAACAAAAAACTCCCCGACTTTTTTTAAAAAGCTGATATTTTGACGCGAGAATTTTCGATTGAAAATTAGGGTGTTTTTTTGATATTAAGTCAAAATAGGGTGAAAAAATAAATATTTTAAATCAAAAAAATTACAGTGTCTTTAGGATATAAAAAGGTAAGTTTTCACCAAATTTCGTGAAAAATAAAATATAAAAAACTTGATTATTTGAATTTTTCACATAAATTTTGAGGTTATGTGAAAAAAATGTAATTACAAAAGTTGTGAGTCTCTTTATCACCTACAACTTTGTTATTTAATTTTTTTCCATATCGAAATACACCGTTTTTTACCCTTAAAAACTCACCTCCATCCACTTCCCGACCTCAGATCGCCCGTAAATTATTTTTCTTTTCATTTTTGTTATATTCTCTTCCTTTTTTAATGGGTTTTTTACTACTATAATTTTTTTTCACTTTTTACCATTTTCAAAATTATCGACCCTGGGCTGGAACTCTGTGTCATGTAGAATTCTACTTACCGCTTTCTACAATAGATTCTTTTGTGGCACTCTGTGTAACATAGCGGAAAACCAACGAGTATATACTTACTACAGGATAACTAGTTTCATAAGAAACCACATTTCGATATTTCCCGTGCGGTTGATAACGTATTTATCACAAAAGAAGTAATCGATTTCTATTGTAGAAAGCGATAAGTAGAATTCTACATGACACAGAGTTACAGCCCTGGTCTATCTAGACTAGAGCGTGGTAGGAAGACGGAGATTGTCGCAGCCATGCTTTATGTACAAATTTCGTATAAATAGATATGGAATATAATATATTTTTTGTTAAAAATGGTATGGGTAGATAAGATTTTCATTTTATATTTATATAAATTGACTTCTCTTTGTACTGGGGGCTGTAGCTCTGCAGCCCTTATTTTCTTAATCGTTTATAAGAAAATTTACAGGAAATCGCGGCCTGATGATTCTATAATTTGGGAAAATCTTTACGAGAGCTAAACAGTACTTTTACTATGACCATATAGAAAAGTGACACATAATCGCACTGTTTAGGTCAATGAAACATGTCATTAGGGGAGAGTGGTTTACCTTAGGTCAATTTTTATTTATTTAATAATATAAATTCCAGATATACATATTTGCAAAATTTAACCTATGCATTGTAATGAAGTCAATTTTTCCTCAATCAGTTTATTTTCATTTTTCATTTTTAATAAATATTAAACGCGATTGAACTGTTGGTCCTGAGTTAATTTACAGATACGCGAACACCGATCAAAATATCGATGCGCGGTGGGACTGGCGTTGGTGGGGTCTCTGATATAGAAAGGGAATCGACAGTTGAACCAAGCCCGAGATTCAATTAAAATTTTTAGTTCCAAATGATACTTGATTTCCAGCAGTTTAGAATATTAGCCGCCTTCTCAAATTGCCGATAATTTCTTTTCTTTCTCGTGTTTATAAATCCGTTGAGTAAAAAAACCTTCGCTTTTTACGTTTTATATTGAAACCGTATTTCATTTTAAAAACCGAATTATTTTGTAGAAATCGGAATATTTTGATTCAGTGTCGAGTTAAAAGATTTAATTTTATTTCAGTAATAAATATTAGAGCTTATTTCTTGGCAAAAATATTACCGTTTTTATAGATAGTGTTGAGTTAAAAGATTTAAATTTGATTTCATTAATAAATATTAGAATTTATTTCTTGGCAAATATAAAACCGTTTTTTATAGATAGTGTTTAGTTTAAAGTTTTAATTTGATTTCAATTATAAATATTAGAATTTATTTCTTGGCAAATATAATACCGTTTTTATAGATAGTGTTGAGTTTAAAGATTTAATTTGATTTCATTAATAAATATTAGAAAGTATTTCTTGGCAAAAATAATACTGCTCCTTTAAAGGGAATATAATTTGATTTAAATAATAAGTGATAGGATTTAGTTCTTTAATATTGTAATACCGGGGATTAAGACTTTTGATCGTTAGTCTGTATTAAGAAATATTTTTTTTTCTTTTTGGTAGGTTAAATCGGGAATTAAATTTGATTTTATTGATAAATACTTTTGTTTAGTAAGTGCCGCGTTGTAACTAAGATGGAAATAATAAAAAACGGAGTTTTAGAGGCGACGTTTTCCCTCTTTTAATAGTTTGTTTATTCTTTTATCGTATATTTAAATAATCTTAAAAAGCTTTCTGTCCTGTCTGAAAGGGCTCATGATGACGATCAGTTCACTCTTGGAGTAGGTGCTATCTGCGTTATTTTTTTTTTTTTAGTTAATGTGTAAACCGCAAATTTAAAAAATCTTAAATAGTATCCTGTCCCTGTCTGAACGGGCTCGTGATAATGATCAGTTTATTCTTGGAGTAGGTACTATCCGTGTAAGTAATTTTCTTCCCTCCGGTAATAGTTTTGTTTTTCTCTTTCACCGTCAATTTAAATAACTTTAAATAGTATCATGTCCCTGTCTGAACGGGCTCGTGATGACGATCAGTTCATTCTTGGATTAGGTGCTATCCGCGTTAGTTTTCTTATTCCGTTTGTATTCTTTATTTTTTTCGTGCAAATTGCAACTTACAGGAATCTTAAATAGCTTTATTACCCTGTCTGAGCAAGCTCGTGATGACGATCAGCTTATTCTAGGATAATAGGCTACCCCGGGTATAAATTTATTTTTATTTTCTTTCCGTATATTCCGTCTCTTCGCACTCTCTATGACCGTTTAGCTAATTTTTCCTTACCGAAATAGTAAAATACCTACATTTTAGTTTAATTCCCGATACAACAGTTAAACAATTAATTTTTGCTACGATCGTTCTTAGAATTTTTCCTTACCGAAATGGGAAATTATGTTTTAATTTAATTACCGAGTAAATAGCCAAGTTAATAATTTTTTCTGCGACCGAAATATTCATTTTATTTTAATTCAATTTTCACGTCTGATTGAGACTAGTCGGAATTCAATACCGTCCGTTTTGTTTATTTTTTTTTTGTTCAGGGTTATATTGACTATCACCACAACTGAGGTGGGCGTTGAAATATATAATTTCTTTTTTTAATGTTTTAAATATTTAAAACAATATGTGTGTCAATGTTAACTTGCCCTATTACTGGCTACTAATTCCAAACTTTATTTCCCCCTTGTATTTCAGCTAATGATAAGTTTTATACCAGCCCAAGCAACGATTAAAGGCCGTTACTTATCGCCTACTATTACCTGTGTCTAAGTGACCTTTGACGCCTGGAATTTTTCATCTCCATCTGTAGCTACCCGAGTACTTTCGACGCCGTTTCGAGAGTTTGTGGAGTAACCATAACCAAAAATTTGGCGCTCGAGAACCGCCCGAAACCAGCGTCATTTGTAAGGAACCGTTTTCTTTGTGGCGAGAAAACCCCTTACAGCATTAAGTACCTTAATTATTTTTCTATGTAAATTAATTTTTATAAACCTTTTACATTTAATAGTTAATAAAAAATAGTTAAGTTGTCTCTTGTAAGTTGACCCAAGGTACAAACTGGTAAAACTGGTAATGTACCTTGATCCAGCATGTGTTGTACTTTGCGTAAGTTGTAGGAAAATAAGAAATTAGCAAAGATTTTGCAAATTTTTATTTGAGAGCGCAAAATAATCAAAATATTAACACTCTGCTGACGGTAGCATCCAGTATATATTAACGACGGCTCGGGCCTTTTCGGACCGGATCCAGTTTTTTCTAATTAAATAGCTGTTAATATTTTTGATATAGGTTAATTGAAACTATTATTATATTAAATTATTTATTTTGAGTTTTAAACATTAAATAATTATTGTGACATATAAATTAGTGAAATAAAAATATCAATTAAAAACAGACAGTTCCATTTACTAATTTAGTATTGGCAGTAAAGACATAATACGGCTATGTTCTGAGCACACGTTTTTTTTGCACTGTGATCAAACGCTTTTTATTTTTTTGTATTTTTTTGACGGACATATGGGACACCTCTTCCTCTGCGAAATCTGAGAGGGTCCTGCCATTGGCGCTGCCGTTTGAGTCGCTTCATCATCCACAATTCCTCCGAGTTGCTTTCCCAATTGGATCAAAAATCGTCTTCTTTTACCACTTCTCGTACCTAGATCATTAGAATGATTGAACAAGTACACTATAAAGGCATTAAGAGCACTGATATCTACCATGTTGGAAAACACAACCATTGGCCACCGACGGGTTTTTCTTTTGACAGAATAGTTACGTAGCATTTGATCGGCCTTGTCCACGCCTGCCTTCGTTTCATTATAGGTTTCCTTTTATTTATTTCATCAATGACGTTTTGGTCATGTAAAGTCTTCGAGCATATATTACTAGAGCCATCGTCCAAATGGGCTTTGTTTTGATACAGGTCTGTTTTGTTTTGCTTGGCATGT